TTCTTAATTAATATGACTATGCATAGTCGAAACATATCTTCCAGAAGAAAATGTAAAACAAGAAAATATAAAACAGATGTGCAATCGAGCAAGGAAGACATGTATATATACATATACTAGAACACGGATGCACGCTTCATTGCGATGGTTTATAATGTAAGAAAGTTTAATACATATAGTTGAAAATATAATATGATGCATTAAAAGTTGAAAAACAATACATCAAATATTATTACAGAGACGAGAAAAACTAACCGAGACATGAATTAATGAAAATAACAAACCGGCGACACAAACAATAATGGACAGCGACAAAGGCGTAGAGTTTTATCAAGCCAAGGCCAACTTTTCACTTTGAAACTCGACTTGAATCTTTATCAAACCGCGCTTAAATTCAACTTGATAAACAAATTATTTGCTCGATCCGAAAATAAAAAATAATAATAAAAAAAAAGGAAACCTTATTAGGTAGGCTTTTACAAGTTGCTCTCACTTAGTTTCACTAGAATGAACTACGAAGTTTGACAATTGATGTGGAGCACGTTACATATATAGGAGAAATCCTTGGAGGTTGTTATATATGTCGAACAAATTAAACCTTGTATTTGGAATTACACACAATTTACTACAATATTTATCCATTGTATTCACTTTTGAAGGCTAGTGAGCGTTTGAGGATATAGTACAGGCTTTTATTGATTTGTTCTATCAATTTAAATTTATTTTGAAGTGTTTTAGTAAATGCAGTGGCGGAATCAGCACATATACTTGTGGCTGAACGTCAAGTTACTGTTACCGATCAAACGTTGTTTTCTTTAATTTTTTACAACACAACATGAGTAACAAATAAAAAAAAAGAAAATAGAAAAAGAAAAAGATAATGATTATAATTAAAAGACAATTTGATATAATTATAAAAATATATGTCTATGAAATAGAAAAAAATAATGATTATAATTAAAAGACAATTTAATATAATTATAAATATATATATATATGTAATTTTTTATATTAAAAAATTAAAAAATTGACGGCAATGGTGGAATGTCCATCAGCCACTTAAGTACATGGATTAGTTATATATTCACTTTTTTAGAAAGATATTTGAGAAGCGAAAGTATTTTGAAAAGCTTATTCATGTTTCATTCAATTTTAAGTAATTATCATTTACATTTTTGGATTTATTTTTTTTGAGATGTATCGTGTTAAAGTTTTGTTCACTTAATAATAATAATAATAATAATAAAAACACTGAGTTTTATCTTAAACTTGCAAACAAACAGTATCAAAAATTCAATTATGCAATTTACAATAAAGAGGCACATTTTCTTGATTTTAATTTCTTCATTTTTTTTTTATTGGACTCGACGGGAATGCTAATTTTGGAAAAGCTAATTCAATTATGATATTTTTTACTTTATCGAAGAAAATACTATTAATTTAAATTTAAGCTAATAATTTATTCAATACAATTATCTAATGTAAGTGATGATACCATGAGACTGAACTTTGCTGTCACTACGCCTAGCAGGCCACCAATACAAGCGGCGATTACTTCTCATGTTCTTGATCATAATGTGTGTAATGTCATATTCCCTTCTCGCACGAATCAAACTTCCTTGTGAAGGTAGTTCCTCGTAATTTGTGGGAGATTTTTAACATGATTCGATGTTAGCTACATTGGCGATGTCCGCACTAATACGAGATCAATAGGAGCTAGAAGGATCTTCTGTGTACTCCCAAATTGCACGTACTTATAACTAGCTATATTAATTGGTAGTTCGAATGAAAACTATTTTCAATGTACTCAAATTTAAAAAAAAAAATGCAATTTCAAAAAAGCAATCATATACTAAAGCAACTGATAAATTGAATTTAGACCAAAATTATAAAATAAAAGTATACACCGAGTAGCAAAAAACTAAAGAGAACTTATTCTTTGAAGAGAAAACCATCATTGTTAGGAAGGTGTGTTTGTTGTACAGTAAATATGATTTTTTATAATTTTTGTATATTGATTTAGGTTGCTTAATATTATTTTGAAAACAGATAATAGTTTGTTTGGTTTGAAAGTTTAGTATTTTATTTTTTTTTAAATCTAAACCCAAAAATCAATTCCATAAACAAACACTTAAATATATTTTTTAGTTTGATTTACAATATTTTGTGGGGACGAGGAGCTAATTTATTTCTTTTTTTTTTCTCCATCAATTTGTAGAAGGAAATTTAAAGGGTAAGGATGTTATTAAAAAACTTCTTTTATCTAATTATCTATTATATTCTTAATATTTTATCAGAATTTTTATAATATTCTTCAAATTTCTAAAACTTTATATTTTTATTTTAAATTACATTATATATTGAAATTATAATATTATGTATATATTATACATATGTTATGACTAATTGCAATTATTTATAAGTGTCATTTGTTGTCTTTGTCAAGTCATCTATTTAATGACTTATCATGTTGTAATGCATGTATAAATATATCTATTTTGTGAAATAAAAAATTACACACGAATTGATCTTTATTCAAATACTCTTTCTCTCTTACTTTATCTCTCTAAATATATATATATATATATCTATACATATATTACAATATTTATATTATTATAACAACATATATTTAAACATATATCTAAAATATTAAATTTTTTGAATTAAAGAAAATAATAATCAAGTTTAATTAGAGTTTGTTCACTGTTTTTAAATTTCACAATTCGCCATAAATTTTATTTTAAAAAATACAATAAATCTACGTTAAAACAATATAATAAATATAGTTTACCAACTTGTAAAAATTAAGCATTCAATACAAAATACTTCTTCCAGAATTATAGTATGGGTTGTGTTTGACACGATATTTAAAAAATATTGATATTATATTGATAGTGGGTAAAAAGTACGGGTAAAAGACTTCTTTACCTTTGTGAGTGTATTAGTGTAAAAAATAGTGGCAATTGTGTAATAATGATGAAAAAGTAATGATAATTTTAAAGCGATATTGTTATTTATAGAAATGAAACGTTTTTTGGATAGAAAAAAATGTAAATAAAACTATTGTATTAGGACGAATGAAATATTATTTTTTATATTACCAATACAATTCTTAATAACTACCGTAATCTATATCCAAAAATATAAAGTGAACCAATTAGAAAAAAAAATTATGTAAACAAATATATAATTATATTTGTAAGAAAGAATATTGAAATAAACAAATTAAGATAGGGCGGTTTGGATTCTTAAAAGATAACCGGAAGCTGAAAGCAGAAATCATTAAAATTACTTTCAAGAACATACGGGTTAATATAATTATATTTTTTTAATAGAATTTTTATAATTTATTTTTACATTTTATTAAATATATTTCAATATTTTTAATTAAAGTTTAAAAATTATATTTTTAAAATTTAGTTATTTATATTTTCAATTTTCAATTTAAAGATAATATATAAATTAAAAATAAAACTACAATCTAATATTGAATTATTTGTATTTTACAATTTATTTTAAAATTTTATAAATTATATTTAATAATTTGAATATAATTAAAAAATTATATACTCTTATTTAAATTTGGTATCTCAATTATAATTTTAAATTTTAATATAATATAATATAATTATATTCTTTAAGTTTTTATTAAAATATAATATATATAAATTAATTATTTTTATATTATATTATAGTATTTTATTTTTAAATATTATTATTATTAAAGATGAAATACTTTCTCCGTTCTGATGCAAGGTTGCCGTTTACGTAAATTTTTAATATTAATATTATAATAAATTTTAGTGAAAAGGACAAAAATATCCCTATTAATATTGTATAATATAAAAGTAATAATATTTGTGCAATATAATGTAAATTGTAAGGATATTTACTATATGTTAGGTAGGTAGTATAATTAGTAAATTAGGAAATAATAACCTGGAACAAAAACTATAATACTATAAATTAGAAATTAGGTAGTACAATTAGTAAATTAGGAAATAGTAACCTTAACTGTCCCCAATATAAAAAAATACTATAATACTCTCTCAATAAGGTTATTTGTGAAAAAATAAAAATATTTAATGAAATAGTTACTTTGTAGTTAGACGTCCAAAAAAAAATAGAAATATATATAAAAATAGAAATATATATACTTTGTAGCTGGACGAAAGGAGTATTTTGTATTAAATATATATTTTTTATATAAACAAGTAAAGTAAGATATAATACACGATCATCTCAAGTCAGCATAGTATCTATTTATAAAATCAACATATATCATACAGTAAATAACATATATTATACATATCGCAACATATTTATAACAATATGTAACACAACATATGATCATTTACAGGACATGTCATTAACACAATTATCGTAAACCTACTACATCAAAAGAAAAAAGAAAAAAAATCCGTCGTGCTTTAGAAAACCATAGAAAATGAATAGTTACAAAACAGCAAACAAAAAATAAGATTCTTCATGGAGACCAACAAACCCCATAAGTAAACAAGGAGCAACAACTACGCAGTTACCATTCGGAATCACTAAAAATTAGGGTGTATTAGTAAAAATAATTATAGATTAAGATTAAAATTCCAGAAAAAGAAAAAAATAAATTACATAGAACGGACAAAAATAGAAAATATAGACAAATTATATGAGACGAGGGAGTACAATACTTACTAATTAAATTCACTTTGCAAAACTGAACACCCAAGTTAATAATAGTTGAATGCAAAAAGTAGCTAAAACGTAAAATCCATTTTGGAATGGAACACTTATTAAACATTCTAAGAATTAGAATTACGACAACTATTTAAAACGTAGGAAACATGTCTCGCGAGAGAACCTCACGCCGAGAAGACATTAAGAATGTGTCTCGTAGAGAATGAAATGAGAGAAATCTTGACGTCAAGAATGTGTCTCGTAGAGAATGAAATGAAAGAAATAATAGAAGAAAATAAAATTTTAGAGAATTGAAAAAAAAAAAAAGAGAGAAATGATTTTTTTTCTATTTGGTAAAACAGATAATTTAGGCATTGTCTATACAAGTATGGTATAATTAATTTCAAACTACAGTAGTAATTGCATACACAATTAGACACCATATTATGATATACTTACTTGCTTACTGCTACATTAGCTCTGCAATGCCAACCCCATTGTTGCTTACAATTCAATACTGAGAATGTGAATTTAGGACTAATTTCTTTAACTCTTCCAACCAAGTGCCCTCAGATTAGCAGCCGTTAGTTCCACATGTTTTCCAATTCTGTCCCACAAAACCAAATGAGAAGCATGGAAGGAAGAATGCATAAGTTGAATCAATGATGTACAATATCGAAGAAATGCATTTAACACCACAGAATGAAATATCACTTTTCAACATATCTTAAATTTTGGGCTTTTTACCATCAGGAGAGAAGTAAAGGGGCACGCACGCAAGTATTTCTACGAAGCCATAGTAAAATGTAAATATATACATTACATATGCCGATCCAAAAAAGATATGCTTACCCAAGATCAGTTGGAAGTCTGAAGCCACCAATGCGTACACGCTTCAATGCATGAAGCTGAATCAAGAAAAACATTTACAAAAGCTAAATACCAAAAAATAACTTAGCAGACGAGTATCTAGCACGATAGTGGAAGCACATTAATTTGTTGCTACTTTTTATGTACAGAGAACCATATGGATCATCTAGTTGGCAATAAATGATTATTCTAGAAATATGTGAATGATGATAATCAAATGAATCAAGGTTATAATAATGTTTTGACTAGAATAATGTCTCTAAATCCTCCAGTTTTGATAGGGCAACTTTCTAATCAGTTTTCAGGAGTCATTGGCACTACAAACTCCACATTACCTGAAGTGCAGCATTTTTTACAAGTTCTCGAACTTCATGATTTCTTCCCTCGTGAACCTGCACCATAAAGGAAACATCAACCAGCTTGATTAACTTAGAACACAACAAACACCTAAAACTTTAACATAATCATGGAGTGAATTTGAGTACAATCTTAATAATCTCAAGATAGCCGTTCATGCACAAGAAAAATGACAGTAGAATTACTTAAAAGTAAGGACATCCATTGCATAATTTGTACATATATAAGTAGGACTTAGCAAGCATTTCAAGCTATTATTATCAGCCAAACGGCTAGTTTCCACTGAATAAAATACTTGAGAAATAGGATATGAAATATCACTACCCGTAACCATCATAATGTAATGCATTACCTCACCCATCCCAAAGAGAAAAACATATGAACAGCTCGAGAAAACACAAAAGCTTAAAAAGCCAGTATAGAGTAAAGAAAATTACTACAATACGAATCCGGGGCCTAGAAATATCTGGTTGTGGTGGTAGCAACTCCACCAAATCTGGGGTACAATGGACACCATCAATAACTGTTCCCTCACTTATAGCAAACAAATTCCGCTTATTTACAACACCACTGATAGTTGCAATGTATCTGCCATCAAGAAAATAGTAAACACATTTAAAAAATCAAAAATAAAACTATTGATCATCCTAACGTCAGAACTGAAAAGTATTATCTTGTATCTACAGGTATATGCATTTTGGGTTAAAAACAAAACCGAAGGAGAGTGAGACAAAGTAAACAAAACAAACAATTGAACATAATTATCAATATCATTAGATTATCCAGTAAACAGAAAAGAAAAGAATTAAAAGCCTTACTCCTTTGTTAAATTAGATGAAGGATGTGAAACCTTATTAGCAAACTCCCCTGAAAATACAATAGCCAGTAATCAGAAGATTTGTTCGATCCAAGAAAGTAACTTGTATATCTATTAATAGTTCAAGTCACACCATCATTTGTTACTATAATCAACCCAGTGGTGCCAACATCCAGCCGGCCAACTGTGAAGAGACGTGGCTTTGGTATTCCGGGATTCTTTTTATTCTGAGAAGAGATTATGAGAAAATCGTAACGAAGCAGATATAACAAGTAGAAAGATACAGGTGCACACTATGTAAAATTTGTTATAAATCTGGAATACACGTACCCAACTCTTCATAAAATCATCGAATAGAGACATTACAGATTTCGTCTCTTTTTCCCCTGCTGAGCATATATAACTGCGAAAATACACTTTTATATCAACTCGACCAGAGACACACTGAAAATAAAAATAAGGAGCCAAGAAAATTAAAAGTAAAAGTGTACACAAACCCTTTTGGCTTGTTTAGAGCAAGATAAACCTTTGGAGGAAGCTTCTTAGCCAGGCGGCTTCCATTAACATAAATTATATCTCTGGCAGGATCAACTCTTGTCTGTCCTTATCACCCGAAAAGGCACGAGAGCAATGCCACATGCATGAGATAAACTTTTGCAGAATCCTTAAAAATGAAGCGTAGTTGCAGAAATCTCAAGCACTGCATTAAAAATGGTGCTAACCTGCGGTGTATTGCATACAGAACCATTGACCGTCACCTTCCCATTAAAAATCAGCTCTTCGCTGCTTCTCCTAGATGCAACTGTCAATTACCAACATTAACCAAAAAAAAAAAAAAAGAAAAAAAAGATAAAATACAAGTAACAGCTCGACAATATTAAATCTAATGCAGTAAAACTTCAATGGACGATGCTACCATCAAAACAAGGTTTGACTCTTGTGAACATATACACAAACAATAATCACCCCCAAACCATTTGATTTAACCAGTACCTGTCAGTGCCATGGTGACACTCAGCATAAAATTTTGGCAGTCGACAACTATGAGAGAACATCTAGAGATGACCACATATAGTGAGATTAAGGGAAAAAAAGACATTAACGACAAAGGGCAAAGCAAACATAGAAAAATGATTGAGCCCAACCCCACAAATTATAGTCACTAAGTATAGCTATATAGAGAGCTTTTCACTACCCGATCACCTCATTTGCAAAGAAATTAATTATATAGCTTACAAACGTTTATCCTTCTTGGATACTTATCTCCCTAATCAATACCCTTCTCACAGTTCAAATCTTCTGATACTAAATTTATACAATTCGAGTAACTTATCAGACATCTTATTCTAAGTGGTGCCCAACAAAGTAAAGGATTGCACACGTTCAATGACCACATAGGTATGGCGGATTTCATTTTCTTTCTTGAGTTCCCAACTAACAAATGTAATAAACATGTTGCCCCTAAGCTCCAAATGTGCCTGAATTCACTGAAACTAGAGATGGAGATCATATAAATTCAGATTTCAAATTCTTAGAAAATAATCCTAGCATACTTTCCAAATCATCATTTATGTCAGCTCAAACGAATCAAACATTGAATCAAAACATCCATATTCACGAAAGCACGCTAACGTACAAGCAGAGCACCGCAATGTACAACACAAGAATGCAGCAAATAAAAGTCACAGCAGTTACCTCCGGCAGCGGCCAGCACCTTTGCGAGGCGCTGCGGCGGCTCCCGGAACTTCTCGTTGTAGAACCTCCGAGCCGCCTTCGAGTACTTCGGCTCGGCCGACGAAGCTACCGGAGGCTTGTCTTTATTAGCTGCAGTTTTATCCTCTTTAGGCTTCTTCTTCTGCTTCTTTTGTGTCTTCTGGATCGCCATAGCCTTGAGGTAACCCTCGGGCGGCGACATTTGAAGCTTGAGGTTGCCATCTTCCCCCCGAACAATCCACGGGATGAAGAGCTGATCTCCGAGTTCAGAGTCAGGGGAATCGGAGGACTCCGATTCGGAGACGGACGGCTTTGGGTGCTGAGGTTTTGGTTTGGGCGGTGCAAAGGTTATGTTGAATTCGGTGGTGGAGTTGGTGGAGAGAGACGACGTGATAAGTGTCCGGAGACGGTGGCGGGGGAGAATGACGGAGGTTCTGGCGAGACAGAGAGAAGAGAAAGCCGCCGCCGCCGCAATCGCCGCCATGTCGCGGTGGTTTGGTTTGGTTTGGGGATGCAAGGGAAGCTGTCAGTTTAAGTTACAGATATTTATTTATTTATGAGATATGTATACACCTAAAAAACAGTGAATGCAATATGTATAAATTAAATTAATTTTTATTCATCATTTTGTATCATAAAATTTACAAATATTAAAATTATTTAATATTTATTTTCAAAATATGTATGTAAATACGTATATTCAATATAAATTTATGGTAGTTAGTACTCCTTCAGTCCCATGAAATTAGTCCAATTTTTTTGGCCATGCAGTTTAAGAATTATTGTATGGGATAGTTAATTAGTTTGATTAATGGATGTAATAAAGTGTTATATTAAATATTTTTATTTAATAAAATATTAAATTAAAAGTTAAAATATTTTTTTATTTTAATTTTTAAATATTGAATTTTTATTTACTGATATTATTCAAAAATAAAAATAATAATTGTATTTATTGTAAATCAATACATGCATTTAGATAAAATAATAATAATAATAACAATAATTTTAATAACTGAAATGTAATTTATACAATAAAAAATGTAATAAAAAAATTATATAAACACATATCAAATTTAATAACACATCGCATACGTACGGTACAAAATTTTTGGTATGATATTTTACCGTACCGTACAAATATTTTTGTATACCGAATTTACGAATGAAAATACTGAATTACAAAAATAACATACATACTCGTAAAAAAAATATTGAAAAAATTTCAAAATTTCGATACAATATGACTTTTTTTGCATGATAACAATATATAAGATATTTTCAGTGTATATAGATAATCAAAAAAAATTGTATTTTTGTACATACTGATTATTTGATACAATATCGATATTTTTTTAAAATCTAACTGTAATAAAAATAAATATTTTTATAACACTTTTACAATTTTCAATATCTAATAAAAAAAATCTTAAACATTCTAAACTAAAAAAAAAATAATTAAATAATTTTATATAAAATTTTAGTATTTACAAAATAATATTTATATTATATATATTTTAAATTAATTATAAATATATAAATAAACAAATTTTTATTTGAATTATATAAAATTTTAGTATGTACAAAATAATACTTATATTATATATATTTTATTAAAATATAATGCTAAAAATATTTAGACAAATGTTCTAAATTTCTTATAATCATATACTTCGTCCGTACATGCATTAAATACAAAATGATATTCAAAATATTTATTCAATATGGATATTCTATTTAGTATTTACAAAATTATTTAAATATTTTGAGAATTTATTTTTTATTTCAAATAAAAAGACACTACTGTTCTCAATAAAAAAAAATACATTATATCATCCTATAAAATCTCACAATTATTTAAATAATTTCAAACCTAAACTAAACCCACCCTTGAGTTGTTCCTAATCTTAATGCAATTTGAATTTAATTCAAAATAACGTTTAAAAGTTTTTATTACATTCTAAAATATAGTACTACTATTTAATATTTCAAAATATTATATTAAAACTGTAGTTTAAAAAATAAAATAAAATAATAATCAAAATCAAAATAAAACACTAAGACCAAACTCCAGAAAAATGCTCACAAATTAACCAACATTTCAACGGTATACATTTGCTTTATTTTTAACCTAGAATATTAAACGAAACAATAACATATGACATAAATAACAAGATTAGAGCCGACAAAAATTGACCCGACACGAAATAATTGGATCTGGGTCAAATATTTTAACTCGTTTATATATACGGACTGACACGAACCCGACACGATAGTAAACGGGTTGAATTAGGGTTGAGACTCTCAACTCGAACCCGACACGACGACTCGATTATAATATATTAATATTGATTAATATATTTATTACATACGTAAAATAATCATAATTTAATAATTTTCTCATAAATTAATTTAAAACTAAGTTCAATTTTAAATCATTCAACCTAATTTAGGTTCATACCAATAAAAACTAATATAACACGACAACATAACAAAAAATTATTTAATTTGAATCAAGAAATTAGACTTAATTATGTATACGGGTCAACACGAGTCAACCCGAATCCGACACAATAATAAACGGGTCAACACGAACACGACACGATAATAAACGGGTCGAATTAGAATTGACTAATTTAATCCATTTAAAGTATTCAACCCAATACGGAACCGACACAAATCGACCCATTGTCAGTTCTGAACGAAACTAGCGAAAAAAGTTGCATAAAAAGAAGCCAGAACATAAAAGAATAATATATACTTCAATTAGTTAATCCAAATCCAAATTTAATTTTTCTAATATATATATATATAACCTTACCCGTTAACCCTACCCGAAATCCGAAAATTCGGATCAGGTATAAAAAATACCCTATCTGAATCCAGACCCGACCTGACATGGGAATGCAAAAGAAGAATTAGAAGTAACAAATATTTGAGAACATATATATACACATATATATATATATATTCCAATACCAAAGCACAAGACAAGATAGAAACCACAAAATAATGTTCGAGAATTTAGGGCAAACCACTTCCATTTCATGCTTACAACCATTTGCAATTTCATTCATTAGAAAATTAATGTACATCCAAATCCAAGTTTGATTTCGGATCCAAAAATTACGAGGAATGAGTCGAGGGCCGTGGTAGTCTCTTGGCGATTTGCTGTCCGTCCCCAATTGAAACAAAAAAGACAGTCAGTCGAAAGCAGGCCCATATACCATACTAAAAATTTTATGCAGATGAACAACCCAGGGACTTGATCTCAGATATACTACGGACATACGTAACAAATTAGTTTAAGACAATAAGTCAAAGCGCAATGGGGACAACAACATATGAACCGTGCAATATGGTCGCAGTTTCGTGACATCAGCAAGCTCTATTGATGTCAGAAGAGTGAAGGCAGAGGCATTTTATAGCTCAGTTTGTGATTGATATGGCCATCCAATAAATAAAAACATTCAAAGCATATCAATAGTCGTCGAGAAATAAGTGATAAAACAATCCCTCAGCACAAGCAGCTGATTCGTTGTTTTGAACGAACATTAACTAAATACACAATAAAATAGCTCAAAATGGATATTCATACCCCTAAACAAGGTTTACTTGTACGATTCTCTTATACATAAAGATTACATCACCCCTGAAAGTAAGATACTCTTAGGGTGTGTTTGTTTGAAGGATTTTGGTGGATTTCCACTATTCATCCAATTTTTTCCCCCCAAAAACATCAAATCAAACACCTATTTTTCATTTTTTATATTATACTAAAAATCAATTTTACATTCAAAACATCACATCAAACCCTATTTATATCACATCATACAACTATTCAAATTCAAAATTTTTACTATTCAAATCCCAACTCAAAATCCAAACCCTCAAACAAACACACCCTTAAGGTATGTTTATTATAGGAGAGATTAAATAATTACAACCTAAGATTATTTTATCTCCTATGGTTAACATGCCCTTAATTTGCTTATTGCATTGTATAATACATCCACCCCGACACTTCAAAAAATGCTCAAGTAAATTCCGTATCAGTTGCACAGACAAGAAATGCATTCCCGAATAAGGGTGTGTTTGTTTGAGGAATTTTGCAAAAAAATCCACTATTCATCCAAAAAAATTTCCCTAAAAAACATCTGATCAATAAACTATTTTTCATTTTCTATATTATTCTAAAAAAAATAATTTTACATTCAAAACATCACATCAACACCTATTTATATCACATCATACAACTATTCCACATCAAAATTTTTACTATTAAAATCCCAACTCAAAATCCAAACCTCCAAACAAACACACCCTAGAGTGAACTTTTCCAGATAACAATTACTCCACAAGTCTTAGCGATAGTTGTTTGATCCTACAAATTACTCACTAATACACTCACACACGCACTACTAGTTATAGACCGGTATGGTAAACGGATGCCTAGGAATGCTGATAAATAAATAAAAAAGAGAAGGGCACCTCAAAAAGCTGGTTTATGTTGTCAGCTGTCTTTGCGGAAGTCTCGATGAAGAACATTCCATTCTTTTCAGCATATTCAATTCCATCCTTCACAGAAGAGAAAGGAAGTGAGATATAACAACACAAATACTGTGATCTTTTGAGGGGAAATAATCGAGAATGTATCAGCTCTCACTTGAACTGGAACTTCTCGTCTTTCATGGAGATCGGCTTTGTTTCCAACCAAAGCCAGGACTATATCAGGACTACCATGCTTTTGTAATTCCTACCAACATCCAAAGAACCAACTCTGAATCAGAAGAACACCATTCACAAGTCATGAAGCAAAGCGAAAATGTCAAGAAATATTTCTCTCATATTTCCATGAGCACGCAAATAGTTTTCCTATTTCCTTTTACTACATTCCATTAATCAGTATCCAAAATAACGCAAAACACCTCAATCTTGAATATACCTTGACCCAATATTGTGCCTTAGTGAATGATTCGGGGCTAGTTATATCATACACAACAACTGCAACTGCAGCACCTCGATAATACAACGGTGCCAAAGCTGCATACCTAATTAAACACAACATGATGGCAAATTTTAGCGTGGCCTCATAAATCCAGAAATCAAATACAGGAGAATAAAGAGGGAAAATAAACTATTTTATCTAGTAATAACGACAAAAAGTAGTTAAATAAGAAGTGATAAATATTCCCATCTTAAGGGTATACCTTTCTTGTCCAGCGGTGTCCCATATTTCAAACTTCACTGTTGTTGAATCCTGTAAGGCTACTGTCTGAGACAAGAAGGACGCTCCAACTGTGACCTAAAATCATTGTGAGTTTAACTATCAACTGAACTTCAATCAATGATGCCAGCTGTGCCACATATTATATATTATTACCTTAGATGTAGGATCAAACTGACCACGAACAAATCGAAGAACAATGCAGCTTTTTCCAACACCAGAGTCTCCTAACAGCACCAACTGAAAGAAATATTATTGGAACAAATGAGTGCATAAGGGGTTACATATTTTATTGCTTGAAAGAAATGAGAAAAGTCAG